TTCCCCTTAAAAGACAGTCAGGAGTCTGTCTCTGAAGTTAAAAGAAGTTTTATTTCATGTGCGTGAGAGTGAAACACGCAGAGATGTTCTGTGTATTTTTCTCAAAGTAATTAAATTAGAAAAATAAAATATTAAATATTTTTCTGTTATCTATCAGGCTTCCCTGTGCTTACAAGATGGGCAGTGTTCCAAAATCACACACAGCTCCCTACCTCCCTATTTGCTAAAGATCACTTATTTTAATAAATTATTTTACGAACCTACAGTATAGAATTACATAGTAGGCCTTGTGTCCAGCATTTTTTGAATCCATTTCAAACCAGTTCTAAATGTCCACCTTAGAAAAACTGTGTTTATAGGGACCCCCTCAACAGGAAGTTGGGATAAAAGTGGAACCAGAGCCAGTAAGCCTTCATTGATGGGTCTGTGGGTGTGAGGTGAATTAGGAGATGATTTTGTTAGGCTTTTTCTTAATAAGTTTTATATCTTTCACTGTTATCACTGAGGGCCAGATCACTCCTCCATTCAGCCATCAGTGAAAACATGAAGAAGATTTTATGCCTGGGCCTGCAGGAGCCATTAAGGCCAACACTGGGCCTACATTTTACTAAACACTGCAATTTTTGGTGGAAGATAAAAACGGAAAAAAAAAAAACAAACAAATCCTACCAAGACAGATCCTGTAATCCTCCATAAACCCGCTCGTTGGCAGCCCCAGACAACGTGGAGTCCCCGTCCTGAATTATTTCTCTTAGACTTTAGCTCAGAAAGGTTAACTGTCATTTGCTTTGCATGAGTCGGGCTTCCATACAGTTTTCCTAAGCAAATGACTAATTTTGAGACATCGGGGAAAATTCATCATTGAAAATCCTGAGCTAAGGCCCGTCATAACATTCAGCTGCCTTTTAATAAGTTTAAAAATATAAAAATACTGAGGTGGAGGGAGCCTTGTAAATTTCTCAGAAATTGTTCCACCCAGTAATATCTTCTGTCTTACCCAGAATTCACAGGAATACTTCCTCCAGATGGGACCACTTACTAATGCTCTCTTTCCTGGCCGCAGTAGGCATGGGGCACAGAAAGGATTTCGACAGCAGTGTTTATGTGTGTACGTTTATAATTTAGCAGTGTAAACACCATCTTCTAGCCTTAGGGTAATATTGGCGCTAACATATTGCCAAGGTAGAATTAAAAATAAAGTACAGCACCTGTTTATTTTTTTTCTTAATTCTTTTTACATCTCATTATCTGTGATCAGTAATCGGTAATATCAGAGTCCCAGCAGGACAAATTCTAGTCTGATCTTGTATACTGTACAAGTGTGTGGATGTAATTTGTTCTGAAACAAACACAAGTTTTTCTGAGAGTTGCAAATAATTCTTTAAATTAATTTTTGGAAATCCGGTGCACACATTTTGGAATCTGCCTCCTTTGCTTTGGTTCTGTAGATATGTGACCCTCAGTGACTGACTAAAAGCTTCATTCACTCAAACTGGAGCTACAGATTCTCTACAGCTTCTGTCCATCTGCTGCCACAGCCCTGTTCAGGCATGTGGTGAAGGCTTAACAACTGAAAGTTGTCTTTTTTTTTCTTTCCAACAAGAAATTTAGTCTCTCAGCTTGTTTCTTTGGAGATACGGTATTTACTGTAATCTTAATTAAGTTTCCTACTTTCCAAGTCTTTTTTCCTGTGTCTTAGTACTTGGGTTTTCAATCAATAAGATGCATATGGGGTATTTTTCTTCTATATAACCTTCTTATATCACCATAATTTAAAAAGTCTGTGATTTACCAGTTATGTATAATCTATGGGACTGCTTTTCTATGATTTTCCAGGCTGGTTTTCATCTAAAATTGTTCACATCAACTACTTTTAATACAAATTCATGACGGAACAAAAGGTCAGCATTTGTAGCATATATGTACAATGAAGTCTACTTAAAGCCGAAGTTCATACGAGGTTCACCAGAGCCCTGTGACTTGTCCCTGGATGGGACATCAGCTTCATCACTGCTGGTATCCTGGAGTAATCGGAGTATTTGGGCTTAGGTGTCCCACCCAGTAATGTGACAGTAGTATCCATTGAAAGGAATGCACGCCCACTCCCCAGTAGCTACCTATATTTGGATATATGCATACTTCTAGATATCGACCTTTATACTTAAAGTAATTCCTCTCAGCCGTTTTCTAACCAATTCAGCCAACAAATGGTCACAAGAGAGCTGGAAACTATCCTCACTAGCAACAAGCTCAAGGCAGGACACACCCAGGATGGGACACCGGTCCAGTGCGGATAGGAAGTAAGTGTTAAACATTTTTTTAGCATTTTAATGTTGTCAGTTTTCATCAGTGCTGCTCATGGTTTCCAGTGTTAACAATGTTACAAGCTATGGGAAATGTTATTTATCCACACAACCACCTGCTTCCCCATTACACTGTGATTTTTAACACTGATTAACACTGCTGGTTCACTCCGACAATCTTCCTGGGAAGACGCCTACTTATAAATGTTATCTGTGCATGGAAACCATATTTTGCCAGCTTTTCACAGCAGGCAATCCAAGAGCTCTATGCACATTTGGACATCAGCCCCAGGCTTTTCACTTCAGTGGCATCAGGTACGAAGCAGGTCTTTCCAAATACAGTAAACCTAGTCATGACCAAAGGAAGCCCAAGAGGTGCACTTCTATTTTTCAGCTGTAGACAAACAAAAAGTCCCAAGTAAAATTAGAACAAGCAGGGAAGCAGACACTTCAGTCAGTAGCTCGTGTGAAAGCAAAACACCTATTCCCAGCAGCAATGAGGCAGAAACAACGACCAGGCGTGAATGTACAGACACAAACAAATATTTCAGGCTGCGCCACTTTCTGAAAACCGTCGAAAGTAAATACTTGAGATCATTTCAGCAAAATAACTTCTAACCTAGCAACAGCAGAATTTGGGGGGTGTTTGTGATGCACATATAGTGCTATCTAAAGAACCTCTTAGCATTGTGCAAAAAGAAAAACTAAAAGCTGTCAAGAGGCAGCGTGAAGTGAAAATGGCAAGCCACCACAGCTTCAGTCTGGGTTTTTGCATGTGGGTAAAAGCAAGGAGATGCGGCAGAAATGACTTTAATTATCAATCTTCCTCTATTCACTGAATACAGCCTTGCTAATAGTTACCGTAGGTTCTGAAATTGCTTGAGGAAGCAAAAAGGCACTGTAAACACCAGGAAAGAGCTGGCTAAAAAAACTCACTTTGGAAATGACAACCGTCAAGTCAATTTTAAGAAAGTGTAATTTAAATTTCATCCATAAAGCTATAACATAAGTCATTACCTTTTAATAGTCTCTATCAAATCATTACATGTTCAATTTAGTTTGACTGTGCAATTTGCTACATTTTTGAAGGGGGTGCAATACAGCTGAAAGAACGGGTTCAGAGAAAGGTCATTTAAATCAACACTAAATTATCATTAAATTTAATCTAAATGATCCTGCGAATGTCATGCCTATGTCTTTCTTTACACAGAAAGAAAGTGTGTAACATTCGTGTCTGGGGTACAGTGCAGGACAGTCTGTGTCAGGGTGCTGGGTGTGCATACACTGTATCTGTATGAAGAGCTTTGGGATGAAAGGTGCAAAAGAAATGTAACAAATTATTCAACAAACCTATAAAGTAAATACTTGCATTTTGCTTTTTTATATCCTCTATAATTTGCTGTATTTTTCAGTGAATAAGGCTGACCAAGCGTGTGATTACCTATGGAATATTTTTAGACTAAAAGGGGATTTTTTTTTTATTCTCTGTTACTGTAGATGAGCAAAAGTACTTGACTGAATGACACTCACTCCCATTCTGTAAACTGAATATTTATCTCATTTACTGTATCTTATGTTCCGTGGTTATGCCAAATTCCATTTAGAGAAACTATAAATATTCAAAGTTTGAACAGAATAAAGAAAGTATTTTTTTTTTGCTGTTCATCTTCTTTACATTTACATTAGCAGATGGAGTGGTGGCACTGTGGTTAAGGATCTGCATCTGTGGCTCGAAGGTTGCTGGTTCAAGTCTCACAGCCAGCAGAGGAATCCTACTCTGTTGGGCCCTTGAGGAAGGCCCTTAACCCCAACTGTTCTGACCACAAGCTTCTCTCCCTGTCTGTGTCTCATGGAAAGCAAGCTGGGGTATGCAAAAAGACAAATTCCTAATGCAAGAAATTGTATATGGCTAATAAAGTGATTTTATCTTATCATTTAAATAAACAAACATAGGCGGACATTTTAGGACTAGCAGAATAGATTCCCTATATTTAATCCCTGGTGTTCAAATGCCAGAGTTGCTATTCCCATCACCTCGGGATAATACACATTCTCCACAAGGCTTTTAAAAAACAAAATGTGTGTGTGCTAATTTAGAAAGACTTAAAAAAAACAAGAAAAGGGAACCCCCCATTCCTCCTGGATTTTGTGTGAAAATGCTGCTCTGAAGGGTTCAGAAATGAACAGTGTCTCTGTCTAAATCGTATGCTTTCAAGACTGCGTTTTCAGCGGAATAGTGTACTGTGGGATTTTTAAAAAGATTCTAACGCATCCCTTCACAGAGAAACCGCTTTAATGCCCAAACAAATTGCATGCGAACTGAGATGAGATGAAATGTGGTGCAGGCTGACTTGTTTTAGAGTCTAGAGTGATTCTAGGGTCCAGAGACATTGGCTAGGACCAACCTAGTGGTTTTTTTTTCGGCATTGTATGAGTAAAGAATTGTACTTAATGTGCAAACAAATTGTCATAAATGTTAAACAAAATGTCACAATCTTTCCTGTTTCAATATGGAACAAAATGGTTTGTGTTTTGTAGGATGTTGCCACTACGCCACGTGGGACTCGTTTTGTGGCCACGAACCCGGCTGTTGAGAAGAGGTCTGTTACTTATTTGAGGGTTTTTGCAGAGAGATATACAGTACTGTACAAAATGAGAAATGGGACTCTCAAGTAAGAGAATTTCTTAATTTCTTACTTCAGATCTTGAAATGGTTCTGCTCTGACATGCGGGGTTTCGACCGAGTGCCCAAAAACTGCTCCTTCCGTACCTGAAAGATATTCGACAGGAATCACTGAATAACACGAAAATCAAACAAAACATGAAAAAAAACAAACACCAGAACCTTGCCTTTAAAATGGAGGAAAGAGATGTGGTTCGGAATTATTTGGCTTGACTTAAAGCCAAGCATGATTTAGATGCAACTGTAGATCAATTGTTTCCTCGTGGATTTTCTCTATTTTCTATTTTAGTGTTTTGACTTTCTAGAGTTCCTCGAGTGAAGGGAAGGACAGGCGGGGGGAATACAGGTCCTCCTCCACATCTAGAGATATTTTCCTCTAACCCTTGATATACTGCAGGCAGTTCTGATCCCGAAACCTGGTGTGTCCATAGATTTTCAAGTGGACTCGGCACAAATGAACCTCAGTCAGCTCATTACTGGGTTACCTGGACCTGTTTTACAGCTTCTCCCAGCTGCTTTGAGGAGACCTTGAAAACCTGCAGGCACACCATCCCTCCAAGATCAGTGTTACTTGACCTCGTGCTCGCCGAACGTTTCTCCTGTGAAAAAGGGTGACTAGGTGATGCAGATCACTGAGAGAACTACTGAGTGAGTCATCAACATGGGCGAATAAACAACGTAAGGGGCGAGATGCAAGAAGCAAGACCCTCGCTCTTGATCTTGCAGGTTAAAAAAGGAACACCAGCTACTCTCTGGCCAGAGACTTGGAAACAGAGGTAATTAAGACGAATTAAGTCAATAACTGATCAATTTAGCCATTGACAGCCTAGGCAGAATCCAAACCAAAAGACCCTATGGCGCTCCAGCACCCTATGTCCCTATCCCCTGTTTTAATTTCCTCTTCATTACAGTCAATGCTGTTACAAGCGGAAATGTTTGCCAGAAATGTAAAATGCGCAGCACCTCAGGCCCCTAAAGTGTTGGCAACACTGACATAATATATCTGAACAACAACAAAAAAAATGTGAGAGAAAGAGGGATGTACAGTAGCAGAACACCAGCATCAATCGCAGCTCCCGCCAGTGATGTGATGTGGGGGGCTGGTCTTGTGCTCAGGGCTGCCTTCTATACAGTATGTATGGAAGTCTTGTGTGTAAACTGTGGTTGGGGGAGCTTCTTTCAGTTCTTCAAGCCGCATGCAGAGTGAGAAAAGTGTCTCCTTTTTAACATTTAATTGCCACATACAAAGAATTAACTAAAACCCAACATGACAGCTAGGGATCCTTCAGAGTTTTTTTAAATAATTTGAGGCGATTCCTCCACGGCGAGCTGGGACAATTACTTCACGCATTTGAACAGAGTCGCTTCCTACCTGTCACCCTCAGTTTCTCCGCGCCAATGCTGATGGCTTCCTCGTCAGCAGAAAACAGCACTTTTCCCCCGTCACTGGTCTTCACTTCGAATCGCTGGCATTGTGCTTCTACAGTCTCTGATCCTGCAAATTAAGCAGAGATGAAACACAGAGTTTTCACGTTAGGGATTCCTCGTACCGAACCCATCTCCGACACCCTCCTTTCCCCGTCATCTGCAGGAGCAGAGAAAAGAAATGCCAAGGCGATGACTGTCAATCAGTAACATGAATTCTTTGATGCCACAGCTGGCCTGACACAGAAAGGCACATGCTACACGCTACATATTCACTGGTGGAAACTGTGCTCCTGAATGAACAAATTTCCGATAAAGAATTGCAATTCGTATTTCCCCATCTTTCCTCACCTTCCCTGAATTTGATATCGGTCCCCCAAGAAGGTGGGTCATTTAACAAAACCGTTGCGTTGCTGCATGACTCGTCAGACTAAACTGATGTGCATTCAGGGATGGAAACAAGAGACACTTGGGGGGGAACAAACCTCTCCACCAAGCACAGTCTCCTGGGATTCTCCAACAAATAGTCTCCCGTCCTGGCTGAAATTTCTCATGTTCAAGACAGAGAAAGAACACATTCAAATGGGAAATATGAATGATTCCTTACACTTTTCTGGACTCTCCACTCAAAGCGCTTTGCAGGTAACGTACCCCCACCCCCAGTGTGTACCCCCACCTGGGTGACGTGACAGCAGCCAGAGTGCGCCAGTCCGCTCCCCCACACACCTGCTATCGGTGAGGAGCAGAACAGCGTGATGAAGCCCGTTCAGAGATGGGGATTATTAGGAGGCCCCACTAACACCACTTCAAATTTATCTCTTTGTCCAGAGGAGAAACAAAGTCCTTGTTAATACTAAAAACAGGGTAAAAAAAAACGCAGAATGGCTGGCAAACAGATGATGAATATATTACAAGCGTTTAAAATGTGAACCAGAACTTGTGACTGAAGCTTGTTTAAGAGCCCCCAAGGCTTCATATACATCCTGAAAATTATGCTTAATACAGTCGCTCTGCGGAAAGCAAGTACTCGATCTTCATTAACATAAAACATAACAACCATGGAGCATGTGTGGCTTTTCTTTGATCACACAATGCGCCTTTAATATGATGAACTCTCCTCAGAGATTTAGCAAAATCACTGGAGGAGGCGATTTTTTTTTTTTGGAGGAAGACTGGAAGTTAGACAACATGGTAACATTACACTTGCTTTAATTGGACAATTTTCCCCATTATGCACATCTGGCTCAGTAAACATGAACTAAACATTTCGCATTTAGGATGTCTGATATTTTTTTTTATTAAAGAACCCAGCAAATCTAAAAATATTTGGTAGAAGAAAAAAAGAAACCGGGTCTTATTTTTTTTTCAAAAAAAGTATAATACCGACCAAAAAAGTTAAAAAAAGCAAGATTGTTTTAAAGGCATGCCTGTAAATCAATGAAACAGAACAAACCTCAAATATTATGTCTTATTTCAGAAGCTGTAACTGTACGCTGCTGTTAACATCTGCTTATCAGAAAAGCAATAGCTCTGAAACCCCATTAAAAGAAAACATAATGGAACATAGGCACAGGATCGCCCAAATAAACACTGTCATTGTGAACATGTGCGTTTCAGTTTTTACTATCTGGTTAACATCATATGGATGAAATATATTTTTACAACACCAGAATGCCAAATATTAAAACAAAGCATGAACAGCCACCATCAAGATTTTTGGTAAACCACAAAAAACGAATTGCTCAGTTTCAACAGAAATAATGACATTAACTCCTACTCTATTGTTATATAGTAACATAATGTTATATAGCGGGTGTTGATTAAACGTAAACAGCAACTTACAGTACATTACTGTTGCTCCTACATGTGAAATGACTAATTCAATGAGAAACTTATATTACAAGCAAAACACAGATTACAAAATTACACTTGTATAATCCTCTTGTGCCTTTTCATACTATTAAAGAAAAAATAATTTTAGATTTGCTGTACAGGGAGTAAAAAGGACAGTAACATTTCATAACTCAACTAAGCACGTATCAGCTGTGCTGTCTCGAAACTGAGTGAAAACAGATGTAGAGTTGGCAACTGCATAGGGATGAAAGCCATGTGACTTATTCAGATCGCAACTGAAATGTTTGGGGAAAATTCAGAGGTCATGCTTGGGGGCTCATTACAACTTGTCTTTGCCTTTTGGTGTGGCGAACTAAACGGCATTTCTGATGCCAAAACAAAGACCTTTTGTACTATTCATCATGTAAGGACTAAATTTTACACCGCGGCCGAGCTGCAGTCACAGACTTCAATACAGACTTCAAAAAAGATCTCAATCCACTCACTGCAAGGCTCTAAGAGTCTAATGCCATCCAGAGATGCTGGGTAGTTTCATATGCAGACAGGGTGAGCACGACAGGTGGGATATTGGCCTTTATGTGGATGGAGGTGTGGTGCTTCAGCCATGTCTACACTATGTTTAGCACATTACTAAAATTATACACCAGACCAAGGAAAGATTAAAGTTGTTTGGCTTCAGAAGAGCTCAATGAGTGAATGAGCCCACTTGAGGTACTTTAGGTGTTGCTAATACTGTATATGCCTGAGTCCTGTCACTAGATATGCTCAGTGCTGCCAGGAATGGGTCACGATTAGTTCGATGGGGCTCTACTGGCTTTCCTGTGACTGGCCAAGTGCACACAAGCTTGCAGTGACTTCTCTGAGGGACATGCCCCTTCTCCGGCTCATGCGACCTCTCCTGCCAGGCACTGTGTGTAAAATGGCTTGTGGCTCTGTTGGTGGCTGTGTTGGAGGAGCTGGTCTGCCTATCTCCCTGTCTCCCACTGTCATGGCTGGAGAGCAGAAGCTTAAAACAAGAGAGCTGGGTTCTAGATTGGATGGCTAATCCTTATAATTGAGGACACCCTTGGTACAAGCTAGGAGTATTGCCATTTTCAAAGGAAAGTCTTTTTAATTACCTTAATTCATAATTAGGTAAGATTTTATTACCACTTTGTAAGTAATTCTTTGCAAGTCACTGGTGCTTCTTTTAATCCCTTATTGTTATAGAGAGCATAAAAAATAAGAGTACATAAGGAAACTATTTTTAAAAACATTTACTTTATACCCTGTTTGTTAAAATAAACACTCTTATTATGCAATTATGAAAAGCACAATGCATTCATCAAAAAGCTGACTACACTTTAATACAAAGAAAAACATTCTTTCTTTAGTAAAATATTTTCTTGCCTAACAATTATGAATTTAGATAGATAGATACTTTATTGATCCCATGAGGGAAACTGCAGATAATGTAGCACTTTCAGGCTCACATGGGTATGCACCCTACCAGCTGGGGAATCGAACCCAGGCCTCTAGCATCACTCAACAGGGAAGCAGCCAGTCGAGCTACAGCGAGATCTGCAATATATGACTGAAACTGCTTCACCAATTGTATTAAAGAGGAACTTGAGCAAGGCCAGGTTGAAGAATCCTACCGTTAAATTTAGCCAGGGCACCGTGATTTACACCTGTAGTCTTCAAAAACAGTGCTGCAGGACCAGGTAAGCAGTCAAGACTTCAGCATTGGTTTGAAAATTGTGGTCCACTAAGGAAAATGCTATTACTGGTCCAACACCACCAGATTTTCCTTGGAGTTCTCCTGCCCCAGCACTGAGGAGGCCAAACCTTGCTTAGGCTCTGAGATCTGACGAGATCAGGCCAGGCTAGAAAGTGGCAATGCGAGATACTGTAGTTCTAGATATTTTCAGAAAGCAGAACTGAGCAGAAAGCACATACTGTAGACTTAAAGGTCAAAGATGGAGACAGCTGTTTCAGCCTTATTAGGACTCATCAGATAACAGCTAACTCTGACCCGTGAAATATATTTTATTAATTGTATTAATGATTTTTTAACATCTTTACAGTTCAAAAGGGGCACAAGTACATTTGAACACTTTGTAGCAACAGGTGTATTTTTTTACAGTTATGCTAATAATACTGACTACAAACTTTATCATGTAAATAATGTTATGATTATCACTTTCAAAATCATTCTTGAAAATGCATGATATACATTTACTTAATTTTTAGTTAAAGCTCATGAGCAGAATGAATATAAGTACAGCTACTGTACAGATTCACTGTTAACTATAGTTGACAGCGTCCACAAAGTCTAGAAAAGCAATGCAATTATTGAGGTTTCGAGATGTTGAGTGCAAATATCATTTTATGTTACACTTTGAAGGATCATCATAAAAAATGTACTATTTAAGAACTCGCCAATATTTGAAAAGTAGAAGTTATGTTCTTTAAGGAAAACATCATTTAAAATAAATTATAAGTGTAATTAACGAGATTAATGAGCACATAAGATCACAAATTGCCTTCTTATGACCATTAATTGATATTGATTTTTTTTGTCTCAGCAAGGGATTGATGATGTTTCAAGATCATTTTAAAGTCATCCAAAGTGTCACTTCATTGTTAGGAGGGTGTACATCACTGTTAAAATAATTTTAATTCCATGTAGCTGAAATGCTAATTTTGTTCTTAGTTATTCTTTAATGGTTCTTGAAAAAACTATTTCAGAGAATTTCAGAAGTAAATTATTGCCCATTAATACTGTTATTTTCTTCTTGTGTAAAAAATAGCTTAATCATATGTATTCTCTGAAACTATCCACATACATGAACATCCAAACTTTTTTGACAGCATTTCAAATGATTTTTTCTTTATAAATGGTAGTGCTGTTGTGGAGGGGGGTGACCTTTCCAATCCCTGAGCATCTTTTCGACTGCTAGGTAAGATCACTGTGTACCACATGAACATGCATCGGAAGCATATTCTAGGTTCAGTGTGTGGAGATGAAAGGAGATGAAAAGAAAATTGTTTTTTGAAAGTAGGCCAACTTTGAACTTGTGTATTAAAGGTTAAAAGAAAGAAAACTGCACCGCAAGGCATTACTGTTCTTCAAAAAAACAAAACAAATAATGATTTATGGTTGGGGGAAAAAAGATAGTGTTTACATAAACTTGATTACAGTCATTAATTAAATGGGGGAAAAAATCAGGACAT